GGGTGGTGGGAGGGCGGTGACATCACTGGGCTGACTGCGTCTGTGCTTCTTTTTGCCGGTGGTTGTGCTTTGTTTGAGACTGTCCGTGACCGGATGCCTCTGCGTGCCACTGTGCTTAGTTACTGTTGTTTCTGTCTTCTTCTTCTCTGACCGAGCAGATAGAGTTGGTTTGGATTGACCCGCACAACTATCGTTTCAAGGTGTTAGGAATTGCTTGCATTATTAGGATTAGCAGTAGTGTGATAGCGATCTATCGGAATAGTGTTTCTGGTTTTTCCATCTGTGTAGGAAGGGATTTGCGGGGCAGGAGTTATGGTCGACGGGTCGAGTGCGACACACCACGAGAGCCCCTTTATTATCTGTTTGGGTCGGTGGATGTGGTCTTCTGTGGGTGCGCGTCCGCGCGGCCGGCACTGTGTGCGGCGCAGGGCCATTGCGGCTGTGCGTGCGGCGCTGCTTGTGGTGTTGGCGCTGGTTGCTGCTGCGGCGTGGATGCCCGCGGTGCATGCGGTGGTGTTTCGACTGCGGGGCGGCACGGTGGACAGAGCCATCACGGTTGGCCGCGCCGTGGACACGGTGCTGATGGACGGCGTGTCCATCACGAACGGCGTGGCTGTGGTGTTCGACGTTGCGGCGATGCTTCCCGGCGCGCTGCGCATCGAATTGAGGAGCTGCGTGTGCGACGGCGGTGCGCAGATCTACGTGCGGGGCTACAGCGGCGAGCCGGCGAGTGACCGGAGCCTGGAGGTGAGCGTGAGCGGACTGTCAGGCGGCTACTGCTCGCTTGTGTTTGTGCACAACCTGCCGGCACACACGAACGTGACGGTCCGTGAATCGACGATTGTGACGGCGGGGCCGATGCGCTACTCCCAGCTGAGCGGGCTGACGGACGCGGTGGCGTCGCCGCTTGTGCTGCACGCGACGTCGCTGTTGCAGACGCGGCTGCGTGTGAGCAACACTGTGCTGAGGTCGTTGCACCCGGGCGGGTCGGCGGTGTACGTTAGCGGCGGTGTGGAACTGCTGTCGAGCGCGGTGGTGCTTGACGGTGTGTCGCTGGAGGCTTCGGGCGGTCCGACCGCGTCCGCGATGCGTGTGGCGTCCTCGTCGCGTCTCAGTCTGCGGAGCCACTCGGTGTTCTCCGTGACGAACGTGTCGGTTGTGAGCAGCGGCGGCGGCCTTGTGCTTGGAGAGCGCCTCGCGGTGTTTGATTCAGTGCTGCGCTTCGTGGGCGTTGAGGGGCCTGTCGCGTCCTCGCTGGTGCGCTGCGACGGTGGGACGGTCGGTGCCGGCGGGTGGGTGGACCTGCACGACGTGTGGGCGGTGGGCGAGGCGTCGTCGGTGGCGTCGCTGTCGGGGGTTACGCTGAGCGGCGGCACCGTGTCAATTGCGCGCTGCGCTGCCACCGGCGCTACGCTTGTCTCCGGGCTGGCGATCACGAGCGGCGTCGTGTCGGTGCAGTGCAACCGTGCTGGCGGCCGGGTACTGCAGAGCAGCGGCGACTACCGCATGGCCGGCCTGCCCTCCGTGAGCGTGGTGCCGTGCGACGGCTGTGCGGCTGCGCTGGCGTGCTTCAATGCGCTGACGGCGTCGTTCTCCGAGTGCGTGTGCGGCTGCCGCGTCGGCGGCGTGGACGAGGCGTGCCTGCCGTTCGACGTTCCGCCTGCAAGGTCCGGCGGCGGTGGCGGCGGTGGTTCGCAGGGCTGCGTGAGTGGCGTGACGCTGACGGAGTCCGTGCCGGTTGGCGGTGGGCGTGCGACGGCGTGCTTCGACTCGGTGGTATTTAGCGGACCGATCACTGTGGCGGTGGAACTGCGCTTGATGGACGCGTTCGCTGACGCGCTGAACGTGACACTGCGCCACTGCGTGCTTGCGGGCGGCGCGCAGCTGCGAATTGGCGGCCTCAGTGAGAGCACGGCGCGCCTGATGCCCCGGGCCCTCGTCGACATGACGAATGTGACGTCGCTGGAGGGCACGATCGTGCTGCATGGCGCGATGCCGCTGCACTCGAGTGTGCTGCTGGCGAACTTAACGCTGCGTGCGACGGTTGGCGGGTCGCAGTACGTGCCGACGACCCCTGGCCATGCGGGATCCCGGTACGGCCCCGCGCTTGTCCTGGACGGTGTCCGGCTTCTGTCGACGCGGTTTGTCATGACGCGGTCGACGCTGGTGTGTGGCGGGGGTTCGTGCGCTGCAATGCTTGTGGAGCGCGGCCTCGGCGTGAACCTGTCCAGCGTCTTCTACATGGACAACTGCGCTGTCATGTCGCAGTCCCACGTGATGTACGCTCTTGCGTCGGATCTGCGTGTCAGCGGCGGCTCCGTGTTCTCTATACAGAACAGCTCGTGGAGTGCGCCGAGCAGAGAATTCCACGAAAGTTCGTGTATGTTTAGGGATGTTGCGGTGGATGGCGGCAGCGTGCTGCAGATTGTGTCCAGCACCTTCCGTCTTGGCTTCGCCATGCTCATGGCAAACACGCTGACCGTGACTGGCGGCAGCTGGCTGGTGCACCGCAACAACGAGTTCCGCACCGCATACGTTGTGTACGTGGCCAGGGAAAATGGCGTGGCGTTCCGCGATCGGAGTGTGTGGTCGATACTTTACAACAACTTCACGTATGGCTCGTACTCGTCAAACATTGTACGTATGACGAGCAAGTGGTCATTACCATCCGACACGCGCCCAATCATCTACGGCGTGTGCGACGAGGCAAGGGGCTCACCTGTGATGGATTACGGAGAAGTGCTCAATATTGGAGCCCCCGTGACGGTGTTGGACTGTGGCGCGTGCACCATGGACGCCGTGTGCTTCGCAGCGAGGACGAGCAGCATCAGCGGCTGTGCGTGTGTGTGCGCTGCTGGCGGCTACGGTGACACTTGTCTGCCAGCTGCAGTTCCGAACGGCCTTGGACCGCTCCCGCTCCCCGATGCGGAGGACACGG